ATTTATTTCTGTAATTCCCAGTATTGTGATTTCTTCTTCTTCTGCTTATTTTATTAGGTTTTCTAATTTTTATTCTTTGGTTTTAAGTTCATTAATGTTGTGACATACTATTTTTATTTCTTTTTTTTTTGTTTTTACTTTTTTTCTAGTTGCTTGCTTCTTGTTTTTGTGATTTCTACCTGTTCTTTTCTTTTTGTCTTTACTTCTTTTCTATAGCCTGAAGATGTTTCTTTATTGCTTTTTTCAAAAATTCTTCTTTTTCTATGCAGAAACTCTCCAATCTCATGGTCTATACTCATATATTCAACTGGAGTGCCCTTAGGAGCAGTAGGCCAAACTATTCCATATTGTATTTCTTGTCTCTTTTAATCTTTCAAGTCTTTCTAAAATTCGATTTAAGATATTACTTGTATATATAGCTTTTTCTTGTATCTGGGTTTTGGGTTCTATTGTTTCTCTTCTGTGTAGTCTTTTCTTTTCTTCAGGTAGATTTGTATATTTTGTTTTTTTTTTTGTATTTTGGTCTTGTATACTACTTTTGCTTATTGTTGCTTGATCTTCTATTCTTCTCTTTCTCCTTCTTCTATTTGTATTTAGCTTAAAATTTTGTTTTTCTCTTCAGTTGTTGCTCTTTTCTGTGCCAGAGATTTGACTAAATCTTTCTTAGCTTCTTTTTTTTTTTCTTTAAAGTCTTTTGTTCATTTTATTTCTCTTTTTTCTTCTTTTATTCAGTATAGTCAAAAATTATTATACATAAATAGTTTCAATTGGACTATTTTCATATCCTCTTTTGTTGCAAACATGATTGTTGCTGTTCTTCTTTAGTTTTCATTTCTATTTGAAGATATATAAACTGACTTAACTCTCTTGTTCTTTAAAATTCATAATAATAAGATTTCTGAGATGCTTCCTGATAATTCTGTTAGTTTTGTTATATAATTTCTTTGTCTCTCTCTAGCTTCATAGTCCTCTATTCCTTTAATTACTTGTATCAGTTTGTTACTATTCACTAGTATGACTCATAAGATGTCTTCATATATTTCTTCTATCTTAACTACTGCTAAGGCCTTATATTTTGACCTTTTAATTCTTACTATATAGCCTTTTCTAAATCTTCTACAGATATATTCTAATTCTTTTTTGTTTATATTTGTTAATAGATCTCAAATTGTCAGATAACCTTTGTCTTTGAATTTTTTATTTATTTCATATTAATTTTCATTTGTTTTATTTTTATTCTTTTTCTATTTCTGCTTTTCTTCTTTAGTTCTCACTTTATTATTGCTTCTTTTTTAATATTTCTTATTATATTGTATCTGTTTTCTTATACTACCTTCTTTTTTTTTAGATATCATTCTGTACCAGTCACCCTCCTTTTTGCTAATTCTTTGTATTGCTTCATTTCTGTTGTATTTACAGTCAAAATCTACTTCTATCTATAAGTTTCCTCTTTTAAAAACTTCTCTAACATTCTTGACATGTATATCGTTTCTTAGTAACCATTTAATAAATTTTATATACTTTTTTTTTTGTTTTTTCTGATATATTGTGTACTGGTATATTCACAAGTAAACTGTTGTTTTGGTTACAGTTTCTTTTGCTTAGAACCCATATTCTTTCTTTTAAAGATTCTTTAACTATATCAATTTCTTTTTGATTTCTATTTCAATAACTTCTTGTTCTTACTTTTCTTTTTGTATTTCTGTGTTTCTTTCTTATATAAATAGATTTTTTTTTTCTTGATTATTGTTTGTCTAACTTATCTTTTCTTCTTGGTTTCTATTTGCTTCTGTTGATTGTTACTATATCTCTTTCCTTTTGTTTTGTGTTTGTTTTATTATAGGCTCTTCTACTATAATATTCTTGTCTTGTTGGGTAATATTAATCTTTTTATTCAGCTGTTCTTCTTTTGCTTTTTTGATTATCTCTCTTGTTATACATAGCAAGATAACCTCTAATGCATCTTGCTCTATTAGTATAGTCACAATTTCATCTTTTCTGTCTGGTATTAGAATAAATTTACTAGTTTGGTTAAAAAACACCTTGTTGTATATATCATTTGCTACCCAATATGCTCTTTTAATATAAGTTGACATTAGGTTTTCTTTTTGATTTTATGTGTTACTTATATTTTGTTTGATTACTAGTGACCTTTATTTACTATTTGTTATAATTATATTTAATTTTTATTAAAATTTTATAATATATATATTAAAACATGCTTTTTATAATGATATAAAATTTAATAATTAAAATATTAAAAAAAAATATACTTGTATATATTGTAAAGTTTTCTGTGATAATCTTAAATTCTCTGTAGTGGTACAAAATCAACAATTTTAATTGGTTTATATCACATGATTATCATATAACAAAAATAACATCTAATCTTTAAATACATATTTTTTACTAAATATTTAACCAATTTTAATGATTTTACTAGTATTAGAATTAGAAAACTAATTTTATAAACTTTACTTAAGAATCTAAAATAATTAACTTATAAAATTTTTTAAAATATTAAAAATAAAAATAATTTACCATCAAGATTATATGAAAAATAATCTACATTGGACTCTATTCTTAAGTATAAAAAAAAAATTACACAATTCATAACAAGCCAGAACACCAGAATGTTTTGTAATAAAATAGTTGAGTTATAAATGTTAGATTTCCTTATGTGCTGATTATGATCATAACAAAATCTTCTACTCAAACTTTTGCTAAATTTTGTACTATGTAACCAATTGAAAATAATTTAAATGTAACAATTTTTATGTTTGAATCAAACAGTGTGGTTTTTTAAGTTGAAAATAAGTAGTATCCAGGTCATTCGGATTTAATGTTCCAATTTAATCAGATACTTATTTAATTTAATAATCGGTTATATCTAATTTCGGGTAGCCGGTTGATGACCGGTTTTAACTTGGTTTTAGATTTTCAAACCACTTGATTTTAATAAATAAAAGATATATAAATAAACAAAGTTTATTAATTACTAGATAAATAATTAGAAAAGGTTTTTTATTAAATATATCCATAACAAAGAAATTTGACTAACACTTAATTTTAGCCTGTTCTCTTATAAAATATTACAATTTTTTAAAATCTTTTTTTAGATAAATTTGTTAACAAAAGAGTATCGGTATACAGTATGTGAATTAAGTAGGTATTAAAGATTTAAATAGAGAATTTCAGTATAATCTGTCGCAATAAATAAATAAATAAATTTAAATTTTAAATACATAGATACCATGCAGATTGGAAGTAACCCTTAAAACCAAAAATTAGTAAAGGTGAAAATAGTACGTATAATTTACTACAGTCAGACCTCTCTAAATGCATATCCGTGGAGTATCTTGCATTTAGGGAGGTAAAATTCTATAAGTATCATATGAGTTGGGGCCATGCATTTAGAGAGGTCTTTCATAGACTATGCATTTAGGGAGGTCTGACTGTATATAATAAATTTAAACCTGGATATACTACGCGTAATTTACTATACGTATAATAAATTCAAACCTAGATATACTACGTGTGCCGTACGTGCGTACATCAGAGTGGAATTATTGTATATATAGAATATTTAGAATATAAAACTTGGGCTGATTCCAAATAACATAGGTTGAAATATAATTCTAAAATGTACCGAGTCATTAAAGAATTCCGATTCAACTTAAAATAAATCAGGTGTATTCCAATTATTTCATCGAGTACGTTTTTTTAAGTCGCTTTAAGATAGGTTTATTCATAACGCAACGCATTGCAAAGTTAAAAATATTGCATGAAATTTTTACATCCATGATTAGTTGGGATACATGCAACTACTCCCACAGGATGCTTTTATTTTTTTACATTTACAATAATTTTGCCATACGCATTTTTGCAATTACATTTAATACATATTATCTAATTGTGAAGAGGATTGCATAATAGACACTTCTCGAACGCTTATGAGTGTTGAAGGAATACTATTTAATTCTGAAAACTTATTCTAATGAGCCTAAAATTATCGAAATCCAATCATTGGATCGTCTCATCGAGACGAACACATTTAAAAACTGACCAGTAGATCAAAAGTTACTCAATATACCTGCAGCTAATCAAATGCTAACCCTCAACCCTATGTGATGTCGGATAAGTGGCCTGTCAGGTAAATAACTTTCGGGGAATTGAGCGAGTACAGTTGCAAAAATCAGCCCATATGCCTAAGCGGATTCTAAATCTACAAATAATTCCGTTCCGATGTACGACATGTATAACAACAGGAGCGGCCGTTCAAATACGTAGATAATTCCGATATGGTTACCGTTACACGATTGATAAATAAATTTTTTTATACGGTTTATAATAATTCTTGTAAAAGCTCAAGTAGCTCAACTTTTTATGAAACGAAAGTAAATTTAAAAGATGAATTAATGTATTCGCTTCGCCTAATAACATATTCTTTGAATCCCCGTGAATCCCACAACCTGATTGACCGATGTGCTAAAATTTGAGATATGATTGGTCGACAATCATGTGTAATTATTTGAACGGTCGCTTCTGTAATGTATAACACCACCATTTTGCAAAATTTTAGTTGTAGCACCGATTTAAAACATGTGATTAAAGTCTGGATAGTTAAATCTGGATTTAAGCATATACAGATCATATAATCATCTTTTTTTAATTACTAATAAAAAAAACATTTCGATTTGCTATCCCTATTTAGTTAATGTCATCGATAATATAATTATCAGAAATGGAATTAAATGATTTTTGATAGAATGATGAATTCAATTTCATGTTTGCGGATACGTATAAAAAAGGGATCTAACCAATATCACAGTTTAATGATGAAACATTTAATCATACAAATAATAAATTCTTTATTTTTATTAGATATTATACGTCATCAAAAGAGACGAATCTAAAATACTGTAAATTCTAAACCCGGATAAATTATAACTACAATCACTTGTATATTGAAAGAAATATATAAATTACACAAAAATCCATCAAAGTTCAACTCTATTCTTTCCAATTCCAACCAATTCTACATCAAATACAAGTGCAGCATTTTCTATAATGTAAAATACGGATAAGTTAATAATTTATGATAAATCTTAAAAACATTATACAAGATAATCACCAGGAATAACCGGTGGACTTCCTCTGGTTCCATAAGCAAGGTGAGAAGGAATTATCAATTTACGTTTTTCACCGATACACATGCTTTATTTAAACGCAAAACAATTTTAATAACAAAAAATATTGAATTTTTTTGCACATAAAAAAGTTTAACCCGAGTAATTATTCGTAAATACACACCCTCTCAAACCTTGATCCCAACCTTTAATGACTTGCCCAACACCTTAGTCGGTATCGAGGTGTTCACATCAAATTAGAATGGATAAACGTAATATATAATACGAAGGATTTAAAGATTTAAAGAGATGTTTTTGTTTACCTAAAGTAAAAGTAAAGGGTTCGCCACGAGGAAAACTAGAATCAAATTCTTTTCCATCTTCAAACAGAGTGCCTGTGTAATGAACGGATATTGAATCACTGATATGACGTAATATGAATGATAAGTGAAAAGAATGAAAAGTTAATTTATATTCTGAAGAAATAAACTTTGAACAAGAATAATAAGCCTTTACCCATCCTTGGTCATTTTATAGCAGGTACCTTCAGGCACACGATGTTTAATTCCTATTTTGAAATATCGAGACTTGTTGGTCGAGGTTTTTTTAAGCTCTTAAAAATAAGTAAAAATAACATTACCAATTTGCAAGGTTGTAGGTGGCTCTTTAGCATTAACATCCCGAATATTAAAAGTCAAACAAATAATAGTTGAAAGCCAAAGGAAGGTTACAATGTGACGCATTTTTTGGTATATTATTCAGAAGCAACAGAATAGATGTTTCAGAAAGTTTTAATTGATAAGCGCAAAATAATTGATTTTAATGGCCAATCAAGCCAGCCTTACCTTTTTCGCAAAATAATTAGTTTAGAGTTCATGTGATTCCATGACGTTACAAAAAATTTATTCAATCGCTTGTAAAAGGAAAAAGTTGGTTTGAACTTGGATATTGAACTGGTAAATGTAGGAAAAAAGGCGATTTTTGCCTTTTATAATCGAAATTAAAACATTGACAACACATTTGGTATTTAATAATTGTAATATAAATCTATATATATATACACTGATATATATTCTTTTCAATAAACCTTTTACTATCGCTATCCGAATTTTGGGATCAATTTAGTATGTAAGTGAGTGTGTACAAACTATATAAAGTAATAAACATTTATATTCAATGAAGAAAAATCAGACCATTTATGCTAGTACAATATATATATTGACGCATAAAAATATGTAGTCCCTTATATCGATATCAACATATTAACCAATCGCTTATAATTTTAGGTCGAGGAGACCAAACGGAATTTGTCGAGATTGATTTCTCTGGATTATTTGTTTATGTAAAGAATAACACATGAATAAGTTTAACAAATATTCTATGAGTTGTTAGAGCTTTTGACGTAATAAACGGTACACTAATATAATTCGTGTGACATACTATGTTTAGGCAACGCGTTTGTCTAGAGGATCGGTCCGTAGTAAATATAACCAAACAGCATTCAAATTTCAAATGAGAGTAAATCCAAAGTCTTACAATGCAAAATTCGCATAAAGGATGAGATCCAACCATCTCATCACTTTTATTTCATATTCGTTAAAAACATATACATTTATTTGCAAAATAATTGTTCATTTCTTTCATTCTCTTGTATTTCACTACAGAACATAAACAATAGAAATATTTTTCAACTTCCCTAATTTTCTATTAACTAAACACATGGAGATTGACCTTAACAATTTATATATATAGCAAAAACCCAAAACCAATTATATAATAATTTCAAAAAAAAAGTCGCATTTCAATGAAGAATCTCAAAAAAATATTGCTTTGTTTGCTCATTTCCTTAAATTCAACGATAATATATTGTTCTCCTTCATCAAATAGTAAGTTCTCAATTCCTTACTATGTTCGGTCGCAAAAAAAAAAAAATTAAAATTCCATAAATTTCCTACATAGAATGTGTTGATTTAATAAAAGATTGTGAAAAAAGGTGTAAAATCAAAATTTTATCGCCTATATGCGATCCAAATACTTTTACTGTAAATTGTCCATGCGATAATATTCCAAGTAAGTTCAGTGAGTATGCGCGATTAATCATACGCGTTTATCATTCTGACAATTATTATATATCAGACTTAAATTTGCGAAACACACCTCAGCAATCCTCCCTACCTTCTCAACCAACACCTCCGGTACCTCCATCGCCACCAACTGGTCCAACTGGCCCAACTGGACCAACCGGACCAGTGGGACCAGTACGTTTGCTTTTCATTGTCTAGATAATTTCTTTCAATAATCTTTAAATACACTGTATCATTCTTATTATTTATTAATTCATGAAGGTAGGACCTACTGGTCCTTCAAATGAAAACGGTACTATCACACCAGGAACCGCAGGTATAGGAGGGACCGCAGGAAACGCTGGGTTGCCCGGACAACCAGGTGAGAAAGAAAATAGTATATGGTTTTTTGCTAGAAAAACTCTGAATTAACTAATCATCTAATAATCTGATTTGAAAGTTTAAGCTCTATAAAAAAAAGAATCATTTAAATCAGATTATTAAATGACAATTTACGGAGCCTCGAAAATCTACTTCTTAGCAAAGTTACCACATACAGTATATATGTACTGTGGTTTTTTTTTTTTATATAGCATATATGATTATAATGTATTATATTAAATTTTAGGCAAGCCTGGAACGAATGGAAATAACGGAAATAATAATCCTGGTGATAGTTATAATCCTCCTGATACAAGTACAAACAATGGGCCCACGAATTCTAATCCAAATTCTAATCCTAATTCTAATCCTAATCCTATTCCTAATCCCACTCCTAAATCCAACCCAAGTAGTCCTTCAGTACCACAAAGTATAATAGTTCTTGTTGTTAATATGATACCAAGATATATAATATATATATAGTTATTTATTTATTCCTAACTTTATTTTATACGTATAGGCACTTCAAATTCAATGTCAACATCACCTATTTCACCTCCTAATCCATCAACAACAAACACCTCTGGCCAATCCGATGATCGTAGTGGTGTAAAAATAGCTGCAGGAATTGTAGGTTCAATAATCTCATTACTCATTGCTGCAGGAATAATAATATATTATCGTCGTAAACGTGAAAAGTCCAAAGAAAATTCTACTGAGTTATCCATAACGATAAATGATGAATCTGATATGATCTCAAATGTTGCTACGGCTGCAAAAAGTGCTGATGATAATAATAGTGCATTAAGTAATATAATGGTAACAAAAGTAAGCAGTGTTAGAGTTCTTCATGATTCTGATGATTATAGTAGAAATTCAAGTACGACAATCGGTTTGATTTCTACTGGTGGTGGTGGTGGTGATGATGGTGATGATAGAAATTCATTTACTGAATACGAACAAAATTGGATTTAATGAACTATATGTCTGTTCTTTTTGTTTTACACAAAAAAAAAAAAAAAAAAATTCTTCGTGTCAACTTTACTATTTATAATTGATTTAAAATCCCATATTTCATATTTGTGCTCTCTTTTATATCAATGTTTTATTATATGTGATTTATTTATCATGTTCATTTAACGATAACCACGATATATCAAGATTCTATCTTATTACCAGATCGATAGGTCCTAAAAAGACCGAATAAAAACTAGTCTTTTTAACCGGTCTCATGGTTATTCGGTTCCCGGTCTTGAGACTAGTCCGGACAGGCTCTCATAAACGGTTAAAATATTTATTATTAAAAGTATATATGTTAGATAATCTGCGCGTTATTCTATGGACGTTATTTTAAAACCAACTATACTATTTTAGAGGACAATTTTCGAAATAACGATAATATAAAAGCAGTATCTTATTCATTAAATTACTTTTAAGAGATTTAAGAAAAAAATTAAGAAACATATAAAAAACAATAATGTTTAATTGTTCTAAGAACATTAAATATAAAATCGGCAGTACACTTCATTTATGAAACTATTTAAGAAAGTTTGAGAAAATGTTAAAAACCAAATGGTATAAAAACAATGAAGTTTAATAAAAACGGTACTTGAAAATTTTTCTTTAATATAAAATTGTGACACTCATATATTAAACTACAGTATTATAATAAAATAAAAAATAAGATAAAATTTTTCAGATGCAGCAAATGTAAAGTAGTACCTTTTAGCATGTAACTATTAAATAAGAATATATATATTTAAGATAAATCTTCCTTCGGATGTGTTAAGTGTAAAATTCGCAGAATTCTGTTTTGTTTAAGTATTTAAAAAAAAATAAGATATATAAAACATAAAGTCTTAAATAAAGAACAAGCCAATTTTCTTTAGATTACTAAGTGTAATATTTATGTATTTCTTATCTGTAGCTATTAAAAATTTGAAGAATTAAATCATATTAAAGAATGATAAATACATTGCACAGAATAAACAGAAGACAATTTGTATATTGTTATAACTACTTTCAGAATTTGAATAAATAAAATTATTTCATATTTGTATAAAATTCTTATGCAAATAAACAAAAACACATGGCTAATTGTTAAATATATTGCTTTATTTACTATAGTGCTCCAAGTCATTTTATTTTATTTTATTTTATTTTTTTTGGTATTAAGGTAACCAAGTCATTTTATATTAAGTGTGCCAAATTTAAGATATATATAAATACTTTTTAGCCAATCAGAATACGTTATATACTAATTCTGATTGAATAAAAAAATCAACAATTTTTTTAATTTTTTGTATTAAATGTCAAAATTTTGAAAACATAGTAGTTTTAAAAAACTTATAGTTTTAAATTTTAAAATTTTTTAAAAATTCTAATAATTTGAATAAAACTAATAAAAAATAATAGTTTTTATTAGTTATATTTTTTAAAAAAACTTAGCCTCTTTAAGATTAGAAATTTTTTATTTAGTATTAGAATATAATAATTTTAAAGAACCTAAAAAGTACAATTAGTTATATATACACTTTATATATCTATTTTTTTTTTTGGTATTAAAATAATTTTTTTGATCTTTTGATTTTTTATTACTAACTTTTTTTGTAATGTGATTTAATGAACTATTACAGAAGAGCATACAATTAACTATATATATAACTTTTCTATATTATCTATTTAAGAAGTTCACTTAAAGGTTCTTTACTAATTGCTATACTTAACATTTTTACTTGGGTGTTTAACTTTAAATCCTCTGAATCTGCAACCTGTATTAATATTACTAGGTTATATCTAGATGCTTAAATCATTATTTTAAGTTTAGAAATATTTTAGAAAATGTTTAAAATGAAAATAAATTATATGATTAGAAGTAAATTATAGAATTTTAATAATTGTTAATAAAGCAAAAAAAGAAATAAAAATAAAAAACCTAAAAAATATAAAAAATAGCAATTTAAATCTCTTTTGAGTAAGTTAATTAAAAAGACCAAAAAGGCAATTTTGCATATATATAACTATCTAAAATTTAAACTAATCAGATATAGAAAATTTTAACTTTAAAGTTAATCAAAAACTTTATTAAATATGAGTTGCTTTCACTTTAGACATTTCTCTATTTTATCCTTAAAATAAACCTTTTAGAACTTTCTGTATTTATTTTTATAGTTGACTTGATATCACTATAGCAGAACCAACACTTGCAGTTAAAGTTATATTATTTAACCACTATGCTCTTATAGAGTTTACTTGAATTTTAGCATCTACTTTATAGCATAACCCTAGTACTTTAGTATATTTCTATCTTTTCATTAGATTCCTAATTCAGATAGCCTATATAGAACTATAATCAGTTTATCAATATATTAGATTAGCCTAATATTAGTTTATTCTAAAGATCTGGTTGATAGTACCTCTGAGACTCTTAACCCAAAGGTTCTTGTTCATCCAAATGCTATGATCTTGGTATCTGTTTTCTTAAACTAATTTTTATAGTAAAGTTATTAAAAATTTGGTTATCTTTCTACTTGGATCTTTGCAAATAAGCTTTTTGTTATCTAATTTCAATAGATTTATATGATCACAAGAACTTATCTAATATTTGTACTATCTGTTTGTTAATTTGCATTTCTTTGTATAATATAATACTTATACAGATACTTTATGATTTGTCAGTTATGCTAGCATATTTATTATTACAGATATTCTAACCTAATTATTAGTAATAATTACTATAATATGAATATTATATAAATGATTATTTAAATTTTCATTATTAATAGGATTTGAATACCCAATCTATCACTTAAAAAGTTGACAATCTGATCACTTTACTAGATTACTATACCTTTTATTGTTCAAAGCATAGCAAAAAATGCTTAATTTCTATACAAAATAATACAAAAGTTATATTTTTAATGAATCAAAAGTATTATTATTAATATATTAATACTAAAAATATTAAAAATGTAACTTTGAATTTTCTGTTTGTTTCTATTTGCATATTTGTACAATACAATAAATCATATATAATTTTATTTTAAATTTATAATAATTTTAGTTTTCTAGTATTTAATTTAAGTAATTTTTTTACATTATAGATAATATACTAAATGTTATACTTGTAACTCAACTATAAGTATTAATTATTTAAACCTTTTGTAATATAATTCTATTTTATATTATACAGTATAATATTATCTAATATATATATTAATTAAGAAGTTACAAATATTAATTTATAACAAATATATATATATTTATTTAAATATTAAGATAAGTATTTGTAACTTAGAATTTTATTGATTGTATAGTAGTTAACAAAAGTAATGCTTAATTTGCAGATCATTATACATAGATAAATAAAAAGACTGTATATACTCTATTTATACAAATTTTAGAGTAATTTTTTTATTTTTTTGCTTTCTTAATATTAAAAAACTAAGCATATATCAAAGAAAAAAATTTTTTATAAAAATATTATATAAACAAATAACTAAAAAAAAAAAAGAATGATCTTTGCTTATATTAATACAATGAGTATTGAAAAAGCTGCTTACAAGATTAAGTATAACCTAATAATAGTTTAAAGATTTTTTAAAAAAATATAAAAAAACTAAAATAATCAAGAATTTACCTATCTTCTTATTCTAAAAAAGCAAAAAAAGATTGCTATAATAAAAAAACATTGAAAAAAATATATGATACTGCTCAAAATTGTAAAAAACTTAAACTTTCAATGCAATATACAAACTAAGTAGAATCTTATACAAATTTGACTTTGTTTTTATATTGCTATTTTGAAATCATTTTTGTTAGATAGTAATATAGAAGGATATATAAAATAGTATAAACAAAATAAAAATAAGAATGCTTACTATTGAATACATAGTATTTTTTTAAATAAAATAAGTATAAAAGTAGATAAATAATTTTTCTAAGTTTATATATAATATTGTGCAAATAATAATACAAATATAAATGTTTGCAACTAAATTTTAGAAGTGAAAGGGTCTTAGTAATAATTTGATTATATTTTGTTAATAATGTTAAAAGTCTTATAGTTTTTTTAATAATTACAAAAAATCTAAGTAAAAAATTAATAAAAACATTCATATTAAGATTCTAAACTATTTTCTTATACTGTTAATAATTACCAAAATTAAGCTATATCTTGCAATTAATAAAGATATTAGAGAAAGAGATAAATAAAATATACTAACTAATAATATGTTTGGCAAAACAAAAAAGTGGTTTATCAAGAACATTAGAGAACTGTATAATAGAATACAAAGATTTTAGTAGTTGCAGAACTCTGTAATACAAACTAATAATGAAACAAATAGAAGGCCTAATAGCAAGACTAAACAAAAAAGATGAACTAAGACAGTTAACAAAATTGAGAATAACATAGAGTTGTTAAAGAGCAAGTTTAATAAAAGACATATAGAAAGTAGAAAAACTATCAGAAGACAAGTCATGTTAGAAGAACAATTTAGCCTATTTGATGATATCTAAAATAAAAAAGTTAGAAATAAATATAAATACAGAAAGTGAATTATGAACAACAAATGCTTATAGTTTCAAAATAATTAATCTAATAAAATCATGACTATAAAAAAGAAATAGATCCAAAATAAGTAAAGCAGAACTAATATATCTAAATTAGCTACTTAATACAAAAGAAAAAAGACTAATAACATAACAGCAATTCAAGACCTATCAGAATTAATCAAATAAAGGCAAAAAGACAGAATGGTTCAAAATGATAAAAGCAAAAATGCTTAATAAAATTGAAAGCAGTAAAGTTAAAAAACAATTTAAAACAAACAGATGTAATATGCAAGCAATAAAAATTAAATAGAGAAGTCTGTTAAATAACAGAAGAAAAAAAGA